CCGCCGCGGTGAGTGCCGGCCGCCTGCCCGCCCGCCAGCTCGGGGTCCTGGGGGAGGGACAATGTCAACCTCAGACGTCGCGGGGAGGTCCTGCCCGTCTAGGGGACACTGTCGAGAGGAGACTGGATGCCGCGCAATCGCCGCGCCGCTAAGGCGCGCGGCAGGAGTCGTCGCTTGCGCCTCCCGTGTTGGGGCCTTAGGGGACCCACAGACTGAACCCCAGCCCGCTCAGCCCCGGGCTTGGGCACAGACCCCTGACCCCTCCTCTCCCCACAGGAGCCACACACTGGACCAGTCGAGCAGGAGCCCAGGGGATGCCCGGGGCGGCAGGAGCCCGGGCGGCGCCCACCCGCTGACCACAGCGAGGACAAAGGCCGGGGCGGCATCCCTGCCCCGCAGAGAAGGACCCTCCCGTGCGGAGCCGAGGAGCCTCGCCCCCGCTGTGCGGGCGCGTTAAATTATTGGACTATCTATGTATTTATTTTGATGATATTTGTGGTAAAACCATTTGTCTTAATAATATATATTTTTTGCATCAATATGTCCATTCCAAATAAACTACTTGAGCTGTTCTCTTTTCTACCAGCCGGGTGTGATGCAGTGAGCTTCCTCTGGGGAGGGGAGGGGGAGTCAGAGGCTCCTTCATTCAGTGTGTGTGTTGGAGCAGGGGAAGCAGCCACCCCAGGCCTCCAAAGGGCAAGGAAATGCGCTTTCAATGAACACTGTCCTCTGCTGGACCCTGGCCACACCCTCCTTGCCAAGCAGCCTCTCCCAAGGAGGCTGGGAAGTGCCTTGGGGTTTGGCCCTGGCTGACTTCCGTTCCTGGGTGTGGAATGGGGAGGACTGGGCAGTGCTTGCTCAGGGAAGTCACTCACCAGCTGGCCCACTAAGGTCAGTGCACCTCCCCGAATCTGAGCTGCTCCTGTACTCAGTGGCGGACCTTAGCTGCCCCCTACCCCAGCCACCTGTCCACACCTGTGAGAAGAAGCCCTCGGCCCTGGCTGCTGGCCTCCTGCTGGCCAGTGCCCGACGTGTGGGGCCAGCAAGGTGGGCAGTGCTTCTGGGCATCTGAGAGAGAGGCCTGCACTGTGTCTGCTAGGGTGGCAGGGGACATGGGGGTGGGGAAGCCTGAGGTACCTGACAAGGCGGGGAGCTTCCCTGTTTCCTGCCTGGGAAGGTGGGTGGCCTGGGACACACTAGGGCTGGCCCCCCCCTGCCCCTCCCTCAGGGTGTCTCCCTCCACCCAGAAGGTCTGTTGGTGACAAAAAGCCAACACTAGAAGAATGGGACAGGACACTGATCCTGGCCTTGTGAAGGGGCCTTTGTTTCCCCTTTGTGGCTGGGACAATACCAGGTGTGGGAGGCAGCGGTGAGGGGAGGAAGGACCAAAAGTGGCCCTAATGTCAGTCACTCACCCTTGACCTCGAGGGCATCATCGCAGGCCTCTAACTGGGTCCCAGGGGTCAGACTGGGGAGGGGCTGTCCCTCTGCTGGGAAGCCGGGGGGAGCCTGCGTACTGGGTCCACAGAACACACCACTCCCGCGATGGATTCTCTCCTGAACAACACTGCGAAGCCCCCGTGCGCAAGGGGAGCGGGGAAGGCCAGCTCCAGGGCCCACGTCCACCCGGCGCGACTTCATCCTGCCCCACCTGGGAGGCCCCGCCCACCAGACCTTCCTGAGGGAGCAACCAAAGTCAGAGGGTGTGATCCCCGCTCCTGCTGGGGCCGGAGCAGAGGCCGGGAGGGCGGAGGGCCACGGCTCTCTGAGGACCAGGGGACTGTGGAATTCTGAGGTTGGGCATTCGGAATTTTAATCACTTTTTCACAGGCAGCCTGTGGGGGAGGGGTGGCCTTCCCCGTCTGGGGGCCCCTGCAGGCCTGACACGTCCTTCTCTCTACACTGGTCATTGGCCGCAGCAGCCAGCTGACCTCCCCATGTCTGGTCCCCCCTCTCCACAGAACCTGGGCTGGGAGGCGGGGAGAGGGGGAGGGAAGCCAGTTCTCAGGCCTGGCTGCCCCGAGCTACCCTGGGCTTTCCAGCAGGAAGTGAGAGTTCCTTTCCTAGATACTGTCCCAAGCCTCAAATTCCTGATCTTTCAAAACTGGCCTGTCCTGTTTCCCTTCAGGAACAATGAGGGCCTGCGGGCACGTGCTCAGCCCAAGGCGAGGCGTGGGGAGGGCTGAGCAGGGAGCCTTCTGTCTCTGGAGACTGAGGAGAGCTATCTGGGCAGCAGCGGCAGGACTGGTGGGCGATGGACCCCAGGGTGGGGCCCACCTCAGACTGGGAGGAACTTGGGTGATTCTGTCTTCCCCAGAGCCCTGGGGCCCAGCTGCAGGCCCTCTCCTCCAGGAAGCCCTCCAGCATGCAAAGCTCCATCTTTCACCCCCAAGCCTCCTGCCCAACGGGTGGGAGCCTGCAGAAATCAGGCTGAAAGAGGTCCCGAGGGAGTTTATTGCCAGTCTGTGCCCAGGGGCATTAGTCACCAGACTTTGTCTTTCTTCTGGGGCATAGGCTGCCTCCAGAGGAACAGGAGGACAAGGAAGTTGACTGCAAACTGCACGTGGCCGAAGACGGGGACTCCGAAGCTGCGGTACAGGAGGCCGCCCAGGGTGGGCCCCAGGGTTCGGGTCAGCGGCTGCACAGAGGCGCAGAGGCCCAGCATGGTCCCTGTGAATGGGTTGGGAGAGTAGTGAAATCTGGGCAGGTCCCTTAGCACCACTGCCCTGGACACAGCCACAGCCTCCCTGCCCCCACTGTCCCCCTCTCCATCCCCCAGCTCCTTCCCCTCTGTCCTGTGGGTCTGCTCCCTGCAACGTGGGCCAGGGCATGCCCCGTGTCACCCCTCACGGCCCCTACTGCCTTCAAATGGACCAGAGGGAACACCCTACAGGGCTAGGGAGGGGCTTCGGGGCACAGGAAGGGCCCCCACCTGCTTCTCTGCATTAACTTCCCAGGCTCCCCTAGCTTCTTGCGCCCCCTCTTATCTGCCACCCCCAGCTCCACTCCCCCTGTCAGCTGTGTCCACTGTGGGCCGCTGAGTGTGGCTGCTGTCAACACTGACATCTGCCCAGAGGGTCCCAGGCGCCAGGGGCTTAGGAGCCAGGTCTCTGGGAGCTGGGAACCCTAGGTGGTGGGGGCGGTGGGGCGTGGCTAGGCAAGGCCCCGCCCAGGCTCAGGGCCAGCGTGGGGGAAATTTAAGAGCAGCCTCTCCCATCGCCCACATGCCCTGCAGACACCAGGGAGCAATTACCGCCCCCTCTGTGGTTTGGGTTCCCAGGCCGGCTGGGACCCAGTTCCTGGCTCCTTCCAAGTGGAGGGTGGTGCCTTGGGCCCAGTGCAGCCCAGTGGCCTGGATCTGCTCTTCCCTCCTCCCTCCCCTGCCTCCTGCCCTCCCTCATCTCTTGCTCCCTCCTCTTGGTTCTCTAAAGTGCCAGCCCACTGTCTCCAGGAAGCCGTCCAGGACCAGCCTGGCCTCCCAGAACCACAGAGCCACAGGTCTGGAAGGCCTTGGAGGTCCTCAGCTTGCCAGACAGCCTCCCCATTTTCATCCTGGCCTCTAGACCTCAGTCTGCCCCTCCCAGACAAGCAGGTCGATGGCCAGAGGGTCGGCCAAGCCCCTGAGCTTTCTGGCCCCACTGCTAGGGGAGCCTTTGACCTCCACCGGTCCCCAGGAGCCCCTGGCCTGGGTCTGCACCATGCCCAGGGCAGTGCAGGGGAGCCTGAGCACCATCAGGGTGGATGGGAGACTCCTTGGCCTCGAGAAAGAAGGCTGGTGCAGAGTGGGGGCTGGGGGTCCACGTCTGGGGGTTCCTGATTCCCAGCGGCTGGCCTGGGAGCCTCCCAGACTTAGCCAGCTGCG